ATTTTCACTAAGTGTTTTAGAAAAAGTGCATGACTTTATGGGCTTATAACTCAAAATCTAAGCATTTTTTGGATATGAGTCATTTAATACAAAGTTATATATATCATCAAGATCTACAACTTTCATGTTGAAAGTTTCTTTTGAATCATCTTGCATCTTGGTGAAAAAATATCATGAAGTTATGAAATTAATAAGGTTTAAAACACTTGGAAAAATTATAAGTATTGAAAAATTTGACTTTTCAATGGAATTTCTTAACTTTCTTGATTCTTGATGATCAAGATTGATATTTTGGAATATCTTGATGAATTGTGGTCTTTGAAATTGAATTTTGATAAAAAAGTCAAAGTTTGACTTTTTGTGTATCAGTTGACTTTTCACCAGTTGATCACATTTCAACTATCAATGCATTGATCTTGAGAAATGATTTGAGCCATGAAATTAGGTCAACATGTTGTGTTTGGGTCCTTGAGATTATCATTCAAGCCATTAGATAATGTATTAGGTCAAAAGTTACTAATCGGTCAATTACAGTCAAAACCCTAATTTTGACCATTTTGCCCCTTTGGTAAATTGAGTGTTTTTCTTGAGGGATTATGGTCAATACTTGATCAAATGATTAATAGGACTTTAAAATGTTGATGTAAGCCAAAAATCATGAAGTTTGATTGTGGGTTGACTATAGTTGACTTTTTACCGAATATAGTTGATTTTCAATCATCTGGTCAATTGACTGAGCAAATTTGTGATTCAAGACTTGAAACTTGACATGAGTATTATTGGAGGACTATAATGATCCATGAAGGTCATTTGAGGCATTAGAAATCAAATTATCCTTGTGAAAATCAAAATCCTAATTTGAGGTATCAATGTTTAGGAGATGGTTTGACTTAGTCAACACTTGTGCAAACTTGAGCTTTTGGAGTTCTTATGAGAAATGTCTTGAGAAATGAGAGGGAAAATTTTGGGTACAACACTATCCCATACAATTGTAGTACGAACCGACTAACCCGTGAAACAGCTACTCGACCGTCCCGACATGGCGAGCAGAAAGCTCAAATGGTGCTAGAACTCTCTGAGTTCGACATCAGATACAAGAGTAAAAATTCCCTTAAAGCTCAAGTACTAGCCGACTTTGTAGAAGAGATGACCACACTTGCCTCCCCGTCATACGAAGCCCATAAATGGACCATCTTCATGGACAGAGCATCCAACTCGATAGAACGCGAAGCATATATCATTCTTGAAAACAAGGAAGGAATCCTGATCGAGGTGTCCCTCGCCCTATCCTTCCCAACCTCGAACAACCAGGAGGAATACAAAGCCTTCCTCGTATGACTACGCTTTGTCGAGTATTTGGGAGCTAGAGAGGTGAAAATATTCAATGATTCCCAGCTTGTCGCCTCCCAGGTACTAGGATAATATTAGGCAATGAACGACAATCTCGCAGAGTACTTAGTTATGGTTTAAGAAAAGATAACAAAATCCGCATCCGTTGAAGTGAAACATGTCTCTCACGAGCACAACACCCACACAGACATCCTATCAAAACTCACGAGTACAAAGAAGAAAGGCGAAAACAAGTTTGTTATCCAAGAGATACTCTCTCACCCGAGCATCGAAAAACCCTCTACAAATCTTAACAAACGCTATCGGTGACAACGTCTGCTGGATGACCCCGGTGTATAACTACCTCGCGACGAGGGAAATACCCCCGACCATAAAGAGGCTAACGTGATCAGGAGAAGACGGTGCACCTACTTCTTGGTCGAGGACAAGATGTACAAACAAGGATTCTCCATCCCTCTCCTCAAATGCGTCAAGGAATCCAAGGTCGCCCACATCCTACGTGAAATCCATGAAGGTGACAACACTCAACACCTCAGGGGAAAGTCCCTCACCCGGAAGGTTCTACGAGCAGGATACTATTGGCCCACCATGCAACAAGACACAAAAGATCACGTCAAAAAATGTAACAAGTGTCAACGCCACGAGGACATGCATTTGGCGCCACCCAACAAGCTCAAAACCCTCTCGTCCCCGTGGCCCTTAGCTTGGTGGAAGGTGGACATCCTCTGGCCATTTACCACTGGGCCAAACCAGAACAAGTACTTGATCGTAGTCGTGGATTACTTCACAATGTGGATAGAGGCGGAAGCCCTCACCAAAATCACGGTGCAAAATATACTTCGTTTCTACAAGAGAAACATACTCGTCCGGTTTGACATACCACAAGTGCTTGTCACCAATAACAGACATAATTCACAGATAAAAACTTCCAGGCATTCCTCGCCAAATTGGGAACCAAATAAAACTTCACCTTTGTTGAGCACCCACATACAAATGGTCAGGTCGAAGCCACATACATAGTGATCATGCAAGGCCTAAAATGAAGACTAGGCGAGGCCAAAAAGAAATGGGTTGAGGAGCTACACAACATGATCTAGGCCTATAGAAAGATACCATACTCAACCACTAGGGAAACCCCATTTCGACTAGCTTACGGGACCGAGGCAGTGATCCCATTAGAGAAATTTCAACGATGGACTTGTCTGGAAAAAGAAAACAGTCAAACAAAACATCATAAGCTTGCCAAAAGTGTATGCCATGATTTTAATGGAAGATGTAGAAGAATAAAATGATCTATAAGAATAGAATAAAGTCTAACCTGCACTTAAAAACTCTGGTCTCCATATTGCACCGAGTACTAACAACCACTGAACCTATGACCACTATTTCAGCCAGTTCTCCAAGGCAATAATCAAGCAAGTCCTGAATTATGAAAGCATTAAAAAAATGACAGAGTAAGGTTTTCAAATCTGAAATCAATTATGAAAGCTAGAAAAATAGATTGAGGTCAAGTTGATACTTTATAAAACACGACATGGAAAAACAAACCTATTTAAAATAGTGGAAACATAAACAATCACGGACATCTTAATCAATCAAGCAAATAAATGAAGATTAATAAAATTGAGATTCTGCTCAAGTAACCTAAATTAGGTTCAACATGAATGTAGATGTATCACAAAGCACCCAACGATTTAAACATAAAATTTGATGTTTAAACAATCACTGTCCTAACCAAACCAACTGTTATTGAAAATATTGGAAATCAATGGTTTGTTCCAATGCACTCACTCACCTTGTCCAAGTGTGAAGTTGAAAGGAATTCCCCTATCGCTGTTAGAATCAAACTTAGTACCATCAAGCAACGGTTCAGTATAGTGAACTACACATTAAAAAAATTACGCAAATAAAAAAATCAGAAAAATATATAATCTGATTCAATATAATAAACGAAGAACTCACATAGAGAAATTAAAAGGTACCGTGAACTTCATCGCCAACTTCAGGAGTGTCCCATCCGTCCCCTTGAGAAGTTTCTTCTTCAGTCCCTATTTACTGATTTTCTTACCTTCACCGACCTTGAGAATAGGATTACCGTTGGCGCTGACGAAGTCAAAATCGCCGTTCATATGGTCTCTTACAAATTCATGGCAAACCATTTCAACAAAACTTGAAACTATTAGCACAAATAGTAAACAAAATCTGAAGAAAACAATTGATTTAAGCGTAATAGTTTAAATTAATAGTTTTCTTCAACATCAGATCAAGTATAAACAAAATCAAAGAGAGCTAAAACTAATTCTCTTGCCTAAACCACCAGCTTTGAGTGACATTAATAAAACCTAAAACAAAACAAATGGGAAAAGGTGAAGAAATCAATGACTTAGGTGATGTTAAAGTTCATTGATGAAAGAAGATGGAAGATGGAAGAAGATGGAAGTTCACAGAGAGAGAGAGAGAGTATTGGAAGGGTTGGAACAACACTAAATTATATTTATCAGATTTACAATGTATTTGGTTACTAATTGATGACCAACATGAGAAGTTAGAAAGTTGTGAGACTTTCCCTTGTCAAAGACATTGATTTTGCTTTTGAATTGGTTTTCCAAAGTATCCACGAAGTTCAACATACGCGTAATATTGAAATAGAGATTAAAATTAGAATAAAATAAAATAAAAATATATGAAAAAAATATATGAATTACATATCAACAATAATAAATGTCAAATCAATATAAGAGAATTAAAGTTATAGTAAGATATAATTAATCATGTAATCAAAAAAATTAAAACTTGAAGTCAAAAAGATATATGTGGTATTTCCAGGTATTTTATATTTTATATATTTATAATAAATAATAAATTTACAGAAAATATATTAAAAATAACTACTTTTAAATATTTCTTAATGCTTGATTAGTGTTTATACCTCAATTTATGAGCCCTAAATTAATAGGACCCATTACCCTAAGAACCATATTGCGAAAAAAAATTGTTCTTATTAATGGGGTTTTGTGTTAACTCTTATCCTCTTTTGTAATGTTTGAAGTTATAATTTGAATTTTAATTTCAGCCAATTATTTAGGGACAAAAGTAGACATAAAGTCATACAAAAACATTTTTATATTTTTCTCGCAATCTTAAATATTTTTATATTGATCGCTATAAAAGCCGCTCGAATTCTAAGAGTTTTCTCTTCATATTATATTCTTTCTCTCTCTGAATCGCACAGTGTTCTTCTTTTTCGCTCCTCTCTGTAAGATCCAAACCCTAGCAAACCCCTTCGCAGAGAGGGAGAGAGAAAGCACCGAGAAGACGCTTCCTCTACTCGCTCTCATTTCACCACTCCTTCTCCTATCAGGTATATCTCTCTCGCGCACACTCAGTCGCTTCGCAATTTTGATTTTTCTTTTTATAGTAAATTTTTGTGTGTTAACATTGCTACTCAAATCGAAGCTTTGTAGTTGTTATGTTGAGTTTAGAGATTTAGTTTAAGTTAGGGTTTTGAGAAATTTCAGTGCGGAAAGTGTCACTGATTTGTTGTTGGATCAATACTGTTATTTTCCCTTTTAACGTAAAGTAAAGTATTGATTATTCGAAATTGGTGTTTTTCATTTTACAGTTGTTGTTGGCTTTTTGACACCATTGCAATGGCAACTTCAGAGCAGCTAGCTCCAGCGAAAACTCCGGCACCCGATGTTGTATGTATATCTACCTTTTTTTGTTTTGTTTTTGATTTTTGTTAATCTTTACATAGATAGCTGACTGTTTTGAAAAATGTAACTTCGGGTTAGGTTGGTCATGCCTTTGTTGATCAGTACTATCATATGTTGCATGAGAGCCCTCAGCTTGTGCATAGGTTTTACCAAGAAGTCAGTAAGCTTGGTCGTCCTGAACCAAATGGTATAATGGGCATCACTACCACAATGACTGTGAGTTCTCTCTATGTATATGTATAATGTATTGTTATCTGGAATACATCATGTGTATCCCCTGTTTCGTTTTGTGTGTTTTCATGTATACTTGTATTCATATCTCTGATAGGTTTATATAATATCTCATTTGACATTGTTTGGTACTGTTTTGTAATATTCATGTCTCTTATTTCACTTTACCGTGTGTTACTGTGATTTCTTGTTTATTTCATACCTCCAGGCTCCATCATTGCTTTATATGTGTATTGTAAATATGCTGTAAGATCAGACCCAAGCTGCAGAGATCATTTTGTGTGTTTTTTATATATACTTGTATTCATATCTCTGATAGGTTTATATAATATCTCGCTTGACATTGTTTGGTACTGTTTTGTAATATTGCTGGCTCTTACTACACTTCCCCTGTGCAATACTGTAATTTCTTGTTTATTTCATAAGTCCAGGCTCAAACATTGCTTTATATATGTATTGAAAACTATGTAGCATCGACATCTCCAAAATAAGGCGTGTCCGTGTCAGTGTCTGACACCTACACCGACTTATTCATTTTTTCAAATTATTACTGGTGTCTCCATGTCACTGTCGGTGTCATGTTCGGGGTTTCCGTGCTTCATAGATTGAAAATATGCTGTAATATCAGACCCAAAATGTCCACCCAATTACTTAATGATGTTTTTTCTTTTTTTAATTTCTTTCCATTTTGTTTTGCTGTTTCTATTTATGATCCTCCAAAGTCTGTTTGTTAACTCATATTCTTATAAATAGGCACGCAATATTAGAATTGACTGAATATGAGTAAATTAGCTTAATATATATAATTGTAATGTGTCCTATATCATTTCATCATGCAGGAAATTGACAAGAAGATACTATCATTGGGTTATAGTGAACTGACTGCAGAGATCATATCTGTGGATGCACAAGAGTCCTATGGTGGGGGAGTCATTGTCTTGGTGACTGGGTTTATGACAGGAAATGATGACATTAAGCAGAAATTTACTCAATGTTTCTTCCTTGCTCCTCAAGAGAAAGGCTACTTTGTTTTGAATGATGTTTTCAGATGTGTTGATGAAAATGAAATCAAAGAGTCTGATCATGCAATTGGATCACCTGCTTCTACTGACAATGGTAATAGATATGATGCATAAGATGTGGTTCAGTTAAGTGTTTTTTGTTCCCTTGGCTGTTTATTTAAGTTGCTATATCTTCAACCTTCTTTCAGTGTCAGATCCTCCTTTGCTCGAGACACAAGTCCCAGAGCAAATATCTGTGACTGTTGAGGATGGTGTTAGGGAAGAAGCCTACATTCCCGAAAATGAGCAAGTGTCTGTTGAAGAAAAGGAAGCTCCTGTTGCTCAGGTTCTTGATGAAAATCCTGATGGATTGGCTTCCCAAACTGAAGAAGTACCGAAGAAGTCATATGCCTCTATTGTATGCCTTCAATCTAAATATACCCTCTTCCTTTCCATCCCTTTCTAGACTCTTATTGACTTACCACTGTAAAGACCACTTTTTATATTATTTTACCACCGGTTGAAATGCTGAAAATTTACCAATAATGATACTTTTGTCGTCTTTTATTTAGAAGAGTAATAATTGCTTCTGTTACTTAATATTTTCCAATGTAACTGGTGTATCTGTTCTAGGTTAAGGTAATGAAAGAGGGAGCAGTACCATCCTCCATTGTGACAGTTGTTTCTGTGAAATCTGTCCGTAAGATTCAAGAACAGCAGAGTACCACTGCACCTCCACCATTCAGCGGGCCAGAATCAAATGGTTCTGGTATAAACACTAATGAAGGTGGAAACAATCAAGAAACTGAAGGTCTGATGCACCATATCCGACTCTAGTTCAAATTTCATAGCATTTGTCATAGCCATATGTATTGATGTATTTAATTTCTCGCCTTTTAACAGCTGAGGGATATTCAATTTATGTGAAAGGGCTGCCTGAAAATGCTACGATTGCACTTCTCGAGAATGAGTTCAAGAAGTTTGGCCCTATTAAAAGTGGTGGTATCCAAGTTAGGACGCAAAAGGTATTTCACTTGGTAATTCCTTGTTTTTTGAAGTGTTGGCTGCTAGCTAATAATATTTTTTTGGCATTTCAATGGATTTGTCAGGGATTTTCCTTTGGCTTTGTGGAGTTTGAAGGGGCAAGTGCCGTGCAAAATGCTCTCGAGGTAGTTATCTGATGTTACTTTATCTTCAGGATTCCATAGTCAAACATGATTTGCATAGACAATTTCTAATTCGAAGTCAAAATCAAAATCATTATGTTCTTCAGGGCATTGATGCCAATCAGCAAGTTGTATTTGGGCTCCCTTGTATATTTTTTTTGGAATCAGGTTCCCTTGTATTTGTTTTGTAGCTTACACTCACTTTGTAGGGTAGTTTTTTTCTGGTATAAATCCACTTGACCAATCTGCTCTTTCACCAACTTGTTCTGCACTGCAATTTAGTTGTGCTTCATTGCTTGTTAATGAATACAGTTGTTGTAAATTTCCTATGTTTCTGAGATGTGAATATCGTTTCTAGTCATTTTTATGTGGGGTTTGTATGGAGCAAACGAAATATAAAGCTTGCTCCACTATGCTCTCACTGTGTTTGTCTCATGGTTTTCACGTGTCCTTGCTAACTCTGTAAGTTCTGTTCTACTTTTAGTTTTGCCATTTTATACTTGTTTTTTAATCTGGTTTTTGGAATTATTGTGTACAATCTTCTGATTTGTCTTGGTCTATAATTGCTCTAAATATTTTTATTCTTTATTTCATTCCAATACTTTTTGCTGGTTTTTCAGGCTTCACCAATTCTGATCAATGGTCGTAACGTTATTGTCGAGGAAAAGAGATCAACTAATCGAGGCAAGTGCTTTTTAGTGTTAGTTCAGTTCACATCAAGGTTCAAAATTTACGCTTTTGCTCATAATAGCTATGAAATTTGTGGGGTTTGTGTATGTGTAACCTGTTATGTGTATGGATGCCATGATTTGTGAAGAGATTTCTCTTGCATATTGAACTATATTCGAGCATTAATTGAAACCTTCAATGAATTGGTATCCACCATGTTTCTTGATTATAGGGTAACCTTCAAATACATTACGGGAATGATAACTTTAATGAAACATGTTTCACGCTTGGTTGTGTCATGTTATGCTGTTTGTTTACCTTTTGCTCAGTGACTAGCTGTTAAATCAAAGTATGGAAGATAATGATTTGGCTGCTTTTAGATGGTTATTCATATTATTTATAATTTGGTTTTTCAAATCCTTGCACGCGCAATAGCTGGTGTGTTGAAAAAAGGATACAAATGTTTAGTAATGATTAGTTGTTTATCTTTTGCATAGGGTTTAGAACTCGGTTACAAAAAAAAGCATATTGCAACATGATATTTTTTTATTACAAGTTTCTGTACTCTCAACATTTACTTATTTTAACATAATTAATGTATTACTATGTTATTTTTTTATAAGGACTTATTATTATTATTATTATTATTATTTACTTTGCATTTACTTTCAACATTTACTTCCAAGAAAGATATTATTTGGGTCCTGTATTGCATGTAGTGAGCTGTTTGCATTCTCTGTTCAGGTTATAGAGGTCGATTCTCGTCTGGAAGGGTACCTGGATTCAGGGGTGAGGTAGCAAGAGGGCGAGGAAACTATGGAAATAGCCGAAGTTTTGGCCATGGAGACTTTAATGGCCGTGGAGACTATAATGGCCATGGAGACTATAATGGCCATGGAGACTATAACGGCCATGGAGACTATAACGGGCGCAGAGACTATAACGGGCGCAGAGACTTTAATGGAAGAGGGGAATATGGATATAGGAATGGTAATCGGGGAGGATTTTCAAGCCGTGGAGGTGATGGGTATCAGGGAAACGATCATATGGGAACCAATGGTGGCCGTACAAATCGTACTGGTGGGCCTTCTGTTAACTCGGCTCCCAAACCTACTGCTGCTAATCGTGTTCCTGCCTCTGCTTGAGGAAGCTATGCATCTAAGAGTCTGACTGATTGATAGTTTATAACAATTTGCAGTAGCAATTGGAATTAGAAAGAATTAAATAGCAAACCTTTTTTAGACGAGTTAAGTTTACAAAGTCCCCCTTTTAGGTCATTTTTCTGATATCGGTGGTCTTGGGAAAGGTAGTTTTCAGTTTCTATTCATTATATAATGAATCTAACGTAGTTTTTGTGCTTCCCCATTTTTTTATGAAAATATATATATTTGATTGGGGTATCATTTTTTGATATATTCTGGTATTTGGTAGTTGTGGCTTGAGATGTTTGCTACCATGACTTTCTAGTGATTTTGTAAGATTCTAGCTAGTGTTTCACCTGATATTTCTTTCTGTCATTGACGGACTCAACTTGTATTTTCAACACTAACACTAACTGCCACTTCAAGAAACTGTATCGTCCTTCAAAAATTGAACTTTACTTCTCACTTGCTTGATTTCCAAACAGCTTCACACATTCTCACTTATATATATATATATATATATATATATATGCGTATCACCGAGTTAGTAGAAAACCATCTGTTTAGTGTTTACTAAATTTAGTTAGTCCAAAATGAATTATTATTTTTGGTTAAGTAACCTAATGGTTAAAATTCACTCTTTAACAGTGATTAATTTAAAGTGAATTAGTGGAGTTTTGCCGTTCAAATTCATGCCCTAGTTTAATAGGACAACTATCAAATGTCACTTTAGCACGTTTATTTGTCCCGCCTTAAGGTTTGTTATAATTAAAAAAATACTATTTGGTTGAAATTGGCGTCTTTTTTAATGGCGTATTTGGTTTAAAAGATTTGAGGTATTGTTGGTTTAAAAGAGAAATTTAGGAGGTTACACACCCTCATTCCATTTCTTCGCTATTGAGGTGAGAAGAGATTTTTGGTAGGACCCACATGCTTTTATTCTCTTTTTCCAATTTCTCTTGTGCACTAAACAAGGTAACTTTGTCATTTCTTATCAACTTCTCTTCTTAGAGTCTTTTTTCTCTACTTCTCTTATACCAAGCACATCCTAAGAGTTGGTTATAAAAAAGAAATCACATTATAAGAGTTTGATTGTTCTAATAGAAATATAGATTTTTTAAGAAAGAAATACAAGACAGAGGGAAGAGGGTGAAACTCTTTTGATTGGTGGATTCTATATTACTTTTTCATTTCTCCTTTAGTTTGAGAACCAAAGATGAAAAAGGGTCAAGGTGCAAACCCTTAGTGAAAATGTCAATGATTTGACTGTGGGATTTAATATACATGATATGTATTGTATTGTCTTGAATAAGAGGAGAATTCATTTCAATATGTTTAGTCGGTTTATGAAATACAAGATTATTGGTAATATGGATGACATATTTATTCTAGAGATGTGTATTCGAAAAATCTCCAGAGATGTATTTCCGGACACTTATGATGCAGAAGTAGAAAAGAAGAATTGAAAAACAACATCTAGAAAAAGATCAAACACTACATTGATATCATAGAATCAATAATATATAAAGGATTTTAACATAGATCAAACATTACATTTCAATATCTAAGTAGACGTTGCATCTTGATAATATCATCAATCAATCTCGAAACAGTCGCATCCAACTCGATCGAAACTTTTGATTCTAAACGGAAAAAGTTCTCCATATAGCCATTAAATCAGCGATCATCTTCAGCTCATAGTTGCTGAACTCAATCTTTCTTTCTTTGTCAACGGATGGCGAACGCGGTACTTGATCTTCACAATTTTGTGATTGTCGTTATATGATAGAAGTTCATGCAGTATTGTAGATCTTCAAGAGGGGTGTGAGCATCAAAATATGATTAGTGTGAGAAATAACGGTTCAAATGAATGAACTTTACCTTAAATTTCAATTTCTTTTGCTTCTTTTGATTTGATGAAACATAAGAATGAAGATTTGAAGTGAAAAACGTGATTGATAATGGATAGGTTTTTGAAGAGGATTTATGGAAAAAATGGAAATGATGTCTGATCATGTAGGTGACTGTTTTTAGCAATAATACATTTGATTTTTTCAGAGATGTATTTTCGGAATAATCTGACATGTAAATGTGACAAATTTCTAAATTATCGCTTTAAGTGTTTTGAGTTCTATCTCCGTATAAGTTCCTGGAGTGGTCAATTGACAATTTATTTGTCACTATGTTTCAGAGATATATCTCTAAAAAAGTTTTAAATTTGATTTTACGATGAATTCTATTTTGCTTGTTGGCGTGTGATACAAAAAATGCGTTCGAAAATACATTTTCGAAAAGTAAGAGACATTTTCGATTTTGCATATGATTCTTTTCCACCTCACAAGGTGAATTAAGAAATTACCATCTCAATATTCATATGGCTGTCTGCATGTGAATAATTGGGAGCATTAAGAGCAATTGACTTAATCTACAAACAACAAAACTCATGCCAAATCTAGAATGAGTTAAATATATAAGCTTATCCATCAAACTTCTAAAAGTTATAGGATTACCCAATTGGATAATGAAAAATAATAGATTAAGCCAACACTACATTATATTTCATCATAAAAGCATCATAACAATTAAGTTGATCGTATAAAATTTCTTAAAAATATTTAATAATATCATTTGTTAACAGGTCATTACTCAAAATTTATTTAAAAAACAGTTAAAGTAAAATTAAAAGAGTGTGAACAAAAGATAACAAATATTTCTTGTCATAACCTCTATTAAAAATACACAAAAATCATATGTGGATTTTGACTAAAACTTTATTTTTTATAAATTTTTAAAAAATTGTATTAAAAAAACAATTTTATGAGAATTTTATAAAAATATTAGAAGTTATGTTTCAATTATTTTTTATAATTAAAAAAATAATTCTGACATCTAATTACTCACACATTTATTATTAAATATTTTTTAAAATAATATATCTTAAAAAAAAACATTTTTTATAAAAAATATTAAATTTAAGTGATATTTTAAAATTTTAAAAATTATAAAATAATATTAACAAAATAAAACTTGAAACCTGCTACCTTTGTTGTAGAACTAAAACAATTAAATTGCCAAAAATGTCTTGACAAGACAGGAATCTAACCCACGACTAGTCTCTTTGTCTCTCTCTTTAACTATCATACAAACCACTTGGCCACTTGTTAACTTGATATTATTGTGAAATATAATATATATTTAATATATAAAAAATTATATTTTTATTTAAGCTGACAAATAATTTTGAGGCTCTAATATATTTGAAGCTCTGTGCGGTGACACTTGTCACACGCCCATAAAACCGACCCTGCTTAGAGTAGATCAAGGCTATGTTTCTTTTGACATAAGGAAATATCAAGTGCAGATCTAGCTATCTCCAATTTGAGAAAATACTTGAGATTCCCAAGTCTTTAATGATGGATTTTAGCTCATATGCACTGTTTATTGTAATAAGCAAATCTTCAACATACACAAGTTTGCAGTAAAATGTTCTGAGTTAGATTTAGTAAAAAGAGACTAGTTAGATTTAGATTAACTATATCCATGTTTAGAAGAGTGGTAGTTAGCTTGTGATTTCACTGTCCACTAGCATGTGTAATGCCATAAATAGATTTATCGAGTTTATGAACTAGGTTTTTATTAGAGACATTTAGCTTAGGGGGATACCATGTGAACTTTCTCATTTAAGTCACCATGTGGAAAAGCAGTCTTTATGTCAAGTTGGTGCAAAACCAATTTTGAGAGGCAACTAGATAGATAATTAGTCTAATGGTTGTCATTTAATAATTGGACTAAATATGTTTAAGTAGTCTAAATTTTATGTGTGACTAAAACTTTTGACAACTAACCTAGTCTTATATCTTTTTACAGTACCATTTTCAAATAACTTAACTTTGAAAATTCACTTACATTCTATAGATTTTTTTCCAGGAGAAAATATGGTTAAATCCTAAGTTTTTTTTATCAACAAGGGATTTAAGCTCACTTTGAATAATTTATTTCCAATTGATATCTATTATAGAAGTGTAGTGATATATTTGTGAAAGGCCCACTAAAGGACATTGGGCCATGACATTAATAAGGGGTGATAAATTTCTGTCGCTCACGAGGGAGATAACCTCACATGTGTAACTCTCTACTCGCCCAACATAGAAAAACATGAGAAATAACATGCCTTGGTCAGAGATACTTCATAAAAAGAGTCAAGGAAATAACCCAAATCTCCCTAGTAAATAGAGATTCAACGATCCACTAGATTGACTAGGTGGGATGTCGCTGTTTCCAAGAAACTCTAAATCCAAACCTATAGGCCTATATAAATACCTCATTCCTAGAGTGAGGTAAGACAATTCATAATATACAAGAAATACCCCAAAAGATACAGGGCCTCTCACCTCATCTGAGATTGCTCTCTCACACCAAAATCACCTCCGAAACAGAATTTCTCACCATCGTGAGCTTTTCCTAAACCACCTAAAATCGTTAAAGCCTATGGGCACCCCTACCAACAAAGCCATAAGGGTGTTGTAACGCCCCAAAATTTCGATTAATTTATTTAATTGAATTTTAAATGTCTTATTTGATTTTATTTTGGTGTGGGGATGTTTATATGAATTATTTGGTATTTGATGGGATTTATTAGATTTTTACTTAATTAAAGTAATTAGAAAATAGGAGAATGATATTTGGATGGCAAAATAGGAATAATAAAAATATGGGGTAAAACGGTGAGAAATAAAGGTAAGTTGGGGTCAAGGTGAAATAATTATAAATATAAAATTAGGTAAGTATTAATAAGAAGGATTAGTGGAGTCTTTGAGTTATCAGTACGTGAAATTGGAGGAAAGTAGGAGAAAGAGAAAATTGCGAGAAGAGGCAAAACAAGGGTTGAGAGAGAGGAAGAAGCCATAACCAAAGTCTGGATCTTTGATGGAAATTGAGGTAAATGGGGGGGGGGGGGGGGAGAATTACTCTAATATTGGTGTCAAATGTATGAAGGGTAGAGA